AAACTAGGGGGGTCATGGCCCCCCGTAGCCCCTCTTAGCATCTGCCACTGCATCAAAGATAATTTGGAAACTAAGTATGATGAGAAAGACCTTGGTTTAAAAATTTTGTGTGTACTTCTGAATTCATATTCATATCATTGTGATATTATTCTTTATAGATCGGATTCTATTACATTGCATGAAGGCTATGAAGCCTTGTACTCAAGGGAAAAGATGAAACAAATTGTGTTTCTACCCCAGAATTGAAAGAACTTCTTGAGCAGAAGGATCATCACCTTTTAAATGTTGTTGGAGCTTTTATATTTTATAGTAATGTTCAATGCTTTAATTGGGGGATGTTATAAAATAACTTAATATTTTTCTTTAGGGACTTAAATTCTATGAACATAGTCTACCTTTCATAATGTCTAGTGGGCTTAAGTAGAAAACTCTAACTCCCGACAAGTCAATTAAATGTTTTCAACCATGTTGAAGATTATTGTAAGTCGTCGCCCTATGACGAGTTAAATAAATTCCATACAATGTAATGTAAATCGGGTGCATGATGTTAGTAATCATAGATTAAATGTTGTTGTAGGTGCATGATCCTAGTAAGCATGTATTGAATGTTGATAATGTGTCATTCGATGGATATTTTCATGACCAAAATAAAAAATTGAATGAAAATAGTGTTTCTTACGAGAGTACATCAAATAAATACGAGTCATCAGATGTGGAGCCTAGTTCTAATCAAGTATTGCCTAATGGTGTTACGAAGTCTAGTAGGTTTTCAGAATCCTTAAGAGGTATGAGGACTTTTTCGAATAAGAGAAGTATAAATTTGGTATAGAGAAGGTGGTTAACTATTCTTTACTTGAGCATATGTTGTGTTGCTTTACAACAAATATGAACAAGATCATTGAACCCAAAAGTTATATATAATGAGGCTTGTAGGGATCCTAATTGGATAAAAGCCATAAATGATGAGATGGATGCCTTACAGGTAGAAAATCTATAGGATGTAAGTTGGTGTACGAAATAAAATATAAGTCTAACGGTGAGGTTGATTGATATAAAACTTAGACAAAATTCAAAAATGGTTCATATGATTTTCGAAAATATCAAGTTTAGTCCCTAAGTATAAAAAACCTTACGGATCGTCCTTGCGGTTTCAAAACTAACATTTGGTTCTTCCGGCTAACTCCATTACCATTTAGCCGTTAAGTCAGGGGCATTTTTATCATTTCACTCCTTAGGGACCATTTATGAGGTTTTGTATTCCTTTTTTTTAAATAAATAATAAATAAATAAAATTTTATATGCAAGAGGTCCCACCTCTCTCTCTCTCTCTCTCTCTCTCTCTCTCTTCGTCCTCTTCTTCTTCCCAGTTTCCATTAAAACCAAATGTGTGTGCATTTCCAAAACTACAATCCATGGAAGAAATCAAAAGCTTTACCTACTAACCTTATAAAAAAAAAAAAACCCAATTTTGTTAATCTGCCCTAATTCATATCATATCAATGAACAACATTCTAGAAAATACAACAAATGTTTCGGGTAACCCATCATCTCCTCCAAAAAAAATCAAGAAATATAGACAATAATGGTGGAGCATAGCTACCAGATTAATAAAAACCCTACCCTATCTCTTGAAACATCAGATAACTGCTTTGCTTTGTTGATCATCTTGTTGACACTGTAGGTCGAAGCAATTATCAAGCTTTTGAGCATCCAGTTCTCGTATCCCCAAACTAATTTAGGTTTTCAATTTATTTCGCGTAATGTTATATACATACATCTTGTTATATCTATAGATTGATGAAACGCGTAGGCACATTTGTTCAAATCCATCTGTATTTAATCATTTCCAGCTTTTATCATCATCAATTTTGAATACCCAGATCAGATTGCTCACGGGAAATCATATACCGCTCCTGCTTCTCCTCTAGGTGTTTAGGTGAAGTCGGTGTGAGAAAGAGAGAAGGAGAAATGGGAGTATGCGGATCGAAGGAAACTGATTGCGTACGAGTTCGATTTGGTTCTCGGAAGAAGAAAAAACATAAAGATTGTTTAGATGGAGACGCAATACCGAAAGTCAATGGAAACTGGGAAGAGGAAGACGACGAAGAGGGAGAGAGAGAGAGAGAGAGAGAGAGGTGGGACCCCTTGCATCTTAAATTTTATTTATTTATTATTTATTTTAAAAAAAGGAATACAAAACCTCATAAATGGTCCTCGAGGAGTGAAATGACAAAAATGTCCCTGACTTAACGGCTAAATGGTAACGGAGTTAGCCGGAAGGACCAAATGTTAAAAGTTTTGAAACCACAGGGACGATCCGTGAGGTTTTTTGAACTTAGGGACTAAACTTGATATTTTCAAAAACCACAGGGACCATTTTTGAAGTTTTGTCTAAAACTTATTGTTGCTAAGAGTTACAGTCAAATGGGGGGTTGAATTTGGCGAAACCTTATCTCAAGTAGCTAAACTTATGATTGTTGGGTACCTGATCAGACTTTTTATTAATTCGGATGGACTTTGTTTTAATAAGGTAAGGCACGGAGTGATTAACTAGTTATTTGACACAAATAATGCATTTTTGTATGGGCTTATTTATGAAGATTTTACATGAGTTTACTCAAGGTTAATTTTCAAAGAATCATACTCGTGTTTATAAACTGAAAACAGAACCAAATTAACCAAATCAACTAAACTGAAAACATGTTGAATCATGTAAGTTCGAGCTCCGCTATGTTTCTTTTTAACCCCTAATGCCTAATTCATTACATTTTGGTCCCTAGCTAGTACGTTGGGCATACTCTATGAGTACGCTTAGCGTACTAGATCTCCGAATGATCGCGGGTTCACCCACGTACGTTGGGCGTACGTGGGAGTACGCAGGGCGTACGCAAGGGTTGGACAAACCCTAATTTTTAGGGTTTTTACCCTATTTAAGCAATTTATCTTTCTCTTGTACATTATATTGATCAACCTTCATCACCCTATGCCCTAATATTGAAACCCTAAGTGATTTTGGTGATGTGGAGCATGAAAGTATGTTTGTTAGTGTTTTGTGGTGAAGAAGAATAAGAGGAACACTTGGAGGTTGCTTGGGAGTAACTTGTGCTTGTAGATCCAAAGTTATCTTCACCTTAGCAAGCCATTTGAGGTAAAAATCTATCATCTTGATGAATCTATGTGCTAGATCCAACTTAGGGTTCTATTTATGCATTTTTGAGTCTTTTGAGCTAAAGATGAGTTTATGGTCTAGTCCAGAAGCCATGGATGTTAGATCTTAACTCCATTAATGTCCCTTGTCCATAAAAATCTCTCATCTTGATGAATCAAATTTAGTTTTTTATTCCTCATATTTAGTTTTCTTTTATGGCTTTTATTTTTCGACTTCTCACATTTAGTTATGCTTATGTTTTTATGAACCTGTATACATTTGCCTTTTAATAAGATTTTATCCTTTTTTTTGTTTTGCTTTTGTTTATATGAAGTTATATATGTTATTGTTTTGTAGGCGATGAAGAATTGCGTTTATAAGAGCTTAACGAAGATATTATGGAAGATGCTAGCAAGAACAATAAGCATGAATCGATGGAGGCATAGGTTTTAATGGATTTTTTGATGTCACAAGTTTGAAACATTTTAGTACTAGTTTATGTCATGTTTCTCGTGTTGTTTTGTGTTAATTTTAGTTGTGTTTTGCTGACTTTTTTAAGAGAGCTTATGGATGAAATGATTTTTAATGGAAATGCTATAAATGAAATGATTAATTTGATTAATTTATGTTTTTTGTCGTGTTGTCGTGTGTTTCGTGTTTTAATTAGTCCGTGTTCGTGTTAGCAAAATAAACACGATATGGTGTTGTGCGATATGGTGTTATGTCATGTTCGGGTTATGGAAAAGAAATTTGTGTCATGTCGTGTTAGGTGGAAACACGAAACGACTGTGTTTGCTTATTTTTATGGGTTGTTGAAATAAATTGAATTTGGATTGTTAAACTTTTATAAATTTTGGGCATATTTATTTATATTGGACCTAATAGTAGTTGCACAATAAAAAAATAATAAATAAATAAAAATTTAGTCTTCAGAGACAACATCGAGTGGTGGATCGGGACACCTACCAGTTCTGACAATAATATTATGCAATAAGGTTGTGCAAAGAATTTATGGGTAACTCAATCTTTATCCGAAATATAGATATCCAGTATTTGAATTATGTAAAAAAAATATATATATATATATATATATATATATATATATATATATATATATATATATATATATATATATATATATATATATATATATATATATATAGATTAAGGTGAAAGGTAAATTCATGTATTGTTACTTCAGTTTTGCCTATTGGTTCGTTTTATTACAACATACACAAACAAGAACACTTTATTGGTCCAAAAAAACACAAATCAGTTTAAAACAAGAACAAACCTCCCTTCCCTATCATCTAGGGGTGTGCATATTAACCTAAGAACCGAATCATAAACAAATTAATCGATATAATCAAACCATATTTAAAAGATATGGTGCAGTTTCTAATCTTGATTAACTAAATACATACGGTTCGGTTATGGTTTTCATCTAAAACCGAACTACTATAAATTGAACCAAACCAAAAATATTAATATATATTTTTCATATAATATAATATTAAATATGGTAGGTAGTTATATTAGAAATTGAAAATTCAAAGGTAATTATTTGGAATTAGATAGGATAAGTAGTATTCTATCAATACAATTATATATAGACAATCATTCACTTTTTATAACAATGAACCTTATGTTTTTCAATTTTTATAGAAAAATATTTTTATTTTTATGTCATCTTAGACTATTATGTGTATCTGATATTAACCATCAACCAACCAAAACCGATATTAACTGTTACCTAATGTTTATCGAAATACATTAACTAATTGTAATGGTTAAGGTTCGGTTTTGACCAATAACCAAACCAAACCGTCGCATTTACACCGCTACCGTTATCTTATTGCAATTTCATGGTACACCTAAAGACTTTCTTCAACTTTATAGAAACCACTCGAACCGGACTCCCAAGACATGTATCAAGAATGCTTGCTTTTGATGGACCTTCAATGACTTTGTCAACCATCTCCATGACTTCGCTCATCTTTGGCCTTGACTTGGGGTTTTTAGACAAGCATCTGTCGGCTATAATCAACAACTTTTTTGCTGACTTCATTGAGTAATTATCTTCAAGTCTTCGATCCACAATTACCCGGAATCTTTTTGAGTCTAGGTAGGCTTTCACCCTTTCTAAAAAAGTTTAGTTCGTTAGGTTGGTTCTTAGCCAATGGCACACTACCCGTTATAAGTTCATACAAGAAGGACCCGTAGCTCCATACATCACATTCGGATGTGAGATACCCTGTTTCAGTGTACTCTGGAGCTGTGTATCCTGTTGTTACCTGATGCTATTTTATCACCAAAACTTAGAAAATTATGTGGTTCAATTGTGAATACATGTCATATACACGAAAAAATTGTACTGCATACCGTTGTTGAGACATTGGCGAGACCTTGACGACGAAGAAGCCATCCGAAATCTGAAAGCTTAGCATTCCACTGATCATCTAGGAGAATGTTGGAGGGTTTCAAATCTCTGAAAAGAATCTACATGAAACCAATGTTACTGGTTTTATAAGAATGCTCCATGCATGGTGTAGAAACAAATACTGAAATACCTTATAGTCCATTCCTTCATGTAGATACGCCAAGCCACGAGCAACGTCTTGAGCCACTTTCAGTCTGATTGTCCATGAGAGAGGAGCTTCAGAGCTTGAAGATAAACGATGGTCCACGCTTCCATTAGGCATATATTCGTATACTAGAATCCGTTGTGTTTTCGTTTCATCATCTTCTACACAGTAACCAATTAGTCTCACAAGATTCGGATGCTCGACCACTCCAAGAAGAGTCGCCTCCCTTAGCCATTTTCTATGCCCCTGTTGCATATATCAAAAATATCAGCATTCAATACAGTGTAGAAGCTGTGAGTAGTTGGAGATGATAAATAAATAAGTTGAAGAAGACAAACTTGCCTTCAAACTTCCCTTGGCGAGCTTTACAGCTACCTGAATATCATCATAAGGATGTTCAAAACTCTTAATCGTACCCTTATGGACACTCCAAAATTCACCCTCTCCGATCTTTGAAGAGATGCCAAAATCGCTAGTTGCTGCCTTGAGCTCGGCGATTTTGAAAACCCTCAGATTGGTTCTTTTTAGGACAAGATTTGAGGATCTAAGGGAATAGGATTTCGGGCAGTTGAGATCCGATGAAGCAGTATAAAATGTTTCAGTTGATGTCGATTATGCTTGAGCTCTGGCTTCATATTCGAAAGAGAAACATCGGAAGTGAAACACCATTATTCCTTCCAATAATTCACCTCTAAATTCCGGAACTTCAAAACAAATATACAAAAGAAAGAAAGTTCCATGGAATTTTGACCAAGGCGACTCAGAAATTTGACTCCATGCGACCATGGGGACCCGAAGGAATCTGCGAATGGAAATTTCCTTCTCTATTCGGTATAAAAAGGTTAAAAACTACATAATAATCAAACTGCAAAATTGGTCTTTATAATAATAATTCAATAAATAGTAGAATTAAAACAACTATTTCTTTACAAGAAATATTTAATAAGTTATAATATTAAAATTATATATTTGTTTTCGTAATTTGTTAACAAAAACGCTGGGATTTTTGTTTTAAAGATCATTGCCTCATTGGACATTGGGGTTAATTTTTATTTGTTTAATTAGAGCTTATTTAATACGTTTTTTTCCTAAAAATATTAGTCATCTTTAGCCCATTTGGTTTTTATTTCTTCTAATACAAGGATTTAAGTTTAAACTATAATTATTTAGTTTTTTTTTTTAATTGTTTTCAAAAACTTAGGCCGGGTTTTATAAACATAAAACAAGAAATAAACAGTAAAATATATAAAATGGTTATATTATTAACCTTTAATCAACTTAATATATTTAAGGGAAATCTTCGAAAAAGTCTGAAACTTTTACTCAAATTTACGAAAAAATCTCAAACTAAAATTTGTTTACGAAAAAACATGAATTACCAGTAAAAATGATGATTTAACCCCTTTTTTTCCGGTTTACCGGTTTCATTATTTTACCATAATTTACGAATAAATATCAAACTAAATTTAGTGATGATTTGACCATTTTCTCCATGTAGCATACATTTTATCGGTTTCATTGTTGATCCGGACGCCTGGTTATTAAATGAATTAATGAGATGGATATGTTGGGTTATATAATGTTATGTTTACCATAAAACTTAATATCCTAATGCATTGTATATTTCTTGGAATATAAAATGTGTCCAACAAAGACTACAATAATTATATAAACTAGCAACAACTTCGTTATTTCTACGTTTTTAAAAATTTCAAATTTTATATCTAAACTTATATAATCCAGTATATCCATCTCATCAAACATCAGCTCATTTTATGTTGTTTTTTTTTCCTAGAAACACACATTTTATTGGTTTCGTTGTTGACTTGGATACATATTCATAATGTAACATTTATAATGGGGAGTGAAGGTGGGTTGCACCTAATCCCACATCGACTGAGAAGGAGAACTAAACATTCCTTATAAGTGTATGGATACCTTCCCTACCACAACATGTTTTAAAGTCGTGGGGGCAGCAGATCCCATAAGAACTCTGCAGTTAAGCGTGCCCGGACGAGAACAATTTAGGGATGGGTGACCCCTTGGGAAGTTTTCGTGTCGGGAACCCAAAATGGACAATATTGTGATACATGAAACAGGAGTTTGTTACAAACGGTATCAGAGCTAGGGCACGGGTCAATGTGTTCGAAAGGGACGCCGAACCCTATAATGGAGTTTTTGGAGTTGAGACAGGATGCGGAGTCAGTGACGGAGATCACTTACATGTTCACTGAGAGGGTGATATTTTGCCCGGAGTTTGCTTTCAAGCAGGCTCAGATGACACGTTATCTGAGCATTCTCAAGACTGACATTTGACAGTTTGTCACTACCCAGCGTTGTGATACACTATTCGAGTTACAGGAAGCCGTTAGGCGACGTGAGCTTAAGATTGAGTTGAAGTTGGAGAGCAGCGGAAGGCCCCGACGCAGTCACAGACGGCGCCAAAGCGGTCTAAGACTGCTAATTCTAGGTCTAGAGGCCAGCGTGGCCGCACTTGTGGTAAGTGCGGGAAGGGTCATTCGGTTGTTTGTCGATCAGGTAGTGGGTGCCGCAAGTGCTGCAAGGAGGGGCACTTTGCGAGGGATTGTCGTCAACTGTCACAACTGGAAATTTTGTGTCATGTAATCTATATATTCAAGCTAATGTGAATCAAAAACTTCAATCAAATACATTATACAAGTACTACAAGTAGTCATCAAACAATTGGAAAACCCTAGAAGTTCTTGTTAAGTCTATTTGGACTAGAACTTCCTTATTGGATCCAAATGGACCAATAAGCTTCCAATTGGACTATCATGGGCTTAGAACCCTAATTGGGCTCTAATTGGACCCACATCTATTTATTTCAACATTTTGGGCCACATTGGGCCTAGAATGAAATAAATACAAAATTTTGAACCATGATTAACCTAAACTAGCCCAACAAAGTGTAAAAATCATACTATATTTCTTTTGAGACTAAAAAACCATCCAACTTAACATCTACATGGGTTTAGGGCATTAAAGCCCAATTTTTCTCCTTCCATTCCAAAAATCTCGGCCCAAGGCCCAAAACAAGCCCAAGAGAAGAGAGTTGACCTTAGTATGCCACCTCATTATTATCCATTGGGTATCCATGCAAGTTAGTCCATATTTCCATGCAACATCACTTCAAAATCACCTCCACTCCTCTCTCTTCTTGAACTCGGCCGAGAGCAACACCCCACACACACAAAACACTCACAAACTCTCTCTAAAATTCACTCAAGGCTTCTTCTTCTTCTACCTCCAAAATCTCGAATTTTAGAAAGCATTCAAGGAAGTTCTTCCACAAAATCATCATCTAAGGTAAGGTTTTGCTTGGATCTATGACTTGTATTCCATATTTATCAAAAATCTCTTCCTAATCCATGCAAAAATCATGATCTTGCACTCTAGAAAATCCCATAAACTCGAAAATTTCATCAAGGAGTGCAAAGGCCAAAAATCACTTCATTTCTTCCATTCTTTCTTCAAAAACCGAATCAACACCCAAGGTGAGTTTCATATCCCCTTATTTTCGGTTTTTATGAGTTTTTGTGGGGGAGAATACAAGAAAAAGTGTAGATCCATCATTATGTGTATGTTGTGGTTGATTTCTATGCTTATGTGTATGTTTTGTATGATTTTGATGATAAATTTAGTATGAAATGCTAAAAACCGAGACTTATATCCTATTATGGCATAAAATATACTACTTCATTGCAAAGTATACTAAGAAAATGGCTAAATAGCTTGACAACACTTAACTTGGGCTAAAAACTCATTTTTTTTTTTTTTTGACAAAAATGTTGAAAATACAAAGTTAAAGGGCCTAAAGTGAAATATTTTGAAATCTGATGGGTAAGATGAGTCAAAACAGTTTACACAATGTATTTTCTGAAAATATTCTACTTAGAGAGTTAAAAACATAAATTCCAAGCTTATTGGGCTAAACATGACATTTTCGGCCCAATAAGGCCCAATATGCGAAATTTTCTAAATTGAAGGACCAAAACTGCATTTTTCTGTAAAACAGTGGACTATAAGTGTTCCATGTGCTTTTCAAAGGTTTAAAATGCTTTTCAAATTTAAAAGGGACCAAAGTTGTAAAATTTTTCCAAATTGGGTCAAAAATGTAAAAGTTGCGAAAAAGAGGGGCTATAACCGAGAAAACTGAAATTTCAAGGGCTTAAACTGTTTTCTATGATAAATATGCTGGAAAATACTTATTTCAATAATTTTTGGTATAAAAATGTCAAGAAAATTGATTTAAGGACCAAACCGGAAAGTTTTTAAATAAAGGGGTGAAAAGGGTAAATTCTACAATTAAGGAGGGGCTGAAAACAGAAAATCTTCAAGGCTAGTTAATACATGCAATTTGACCAATTGATGGTACCACGCTCGTCGACGAAATACAATATACTACAATACCAAAAGTCGTTGTTAAACGAATTGGTTCGGTCTCGAACCAATAAAAATCCAAAACCACTAACACGACGACGTTACAACATTTCGATTCATAACAAATAACGATGGAGAATTCACTATACATACGAGTGTGCGCAGACGTCTATGCACCATCTTTGGGCCCCAAAAGTGTAAAATCTTGTTCGTTGAGCCTAGCTAGCCCAATGACCTGATCTTAAGGCCCGAAGATCTCTCTCTCTCTTACGAAGTGTTGGGTTTTACCGATCCGACATAACGTAACAGGACTTTCAATGGCAAACGTGCTGCTGGTCCCCAAGGGTCCTTCAGTGCTGCTAGTAAAGTTGGTAACTCACGATTGCGGGTTGGGCTTCGGGCCCTTCGCAATTGCATTTGTCCTGAACGACGCGGGGAAATACCGAGGGTTTCGCACCTTCTCTCCTTCCCTCCGGTCGTGGGATTACACAAGTCCGGGAGGATCGAGTTGTGTGAAGAATTACGAGTGGCACCTAAGGGGATCGCTTGTAAGGTTGTCGATTGGACGTTTTCATTAACGTACGTCACAACACTTCACCACCCATTGTATTCTCAATGCCTCCGGAACTCAACGATTTCCCTAACGAAACGAAACAACGGTATACAAACTAAGTAATACAAAGTGATAGGAAAACGTCGGGTTTTCCTAGGGTTTTCAACAATTACAACTTACGAATTGCCGGTCGAATTTTTCACAACTCTTACGCTTACATCTATAGAATTCAAACATGCATACTCATGGATCAACACATATTTTTACACTATTCTATTATTAGAAAATATCGGATTTTCTGACGGGTTTCAAACATTACATTGGATTCCAAACTCTACTTATGAACTCACCAACATTTCGTATGTTGACGTTTTTCAAAATACTTGTATTCTCAGGTAACAGATAAGGTGACGGATGATTTAAACTCTATGATGTTTGCTGTGGTTTAAGTGATGTTGAACAGTTATTTTGAGAATGTAACGTTTGAACAATGTAATGAATGTAAACACTATTGGTTGTACTATTCCAAATGTTGGTGATGTTTTATGTTATGTTTCATGTATATGCATTGTAATGGTATTCAATGAGTCACGAAAGCCCTCGGACGTTTCCGCCGTCTGGTTCGGGGGTGTGACATCAACCATCCCCGACTTAGGATATGAGCATTTGCTACCACTGCAATCAGGTTGGTCATGTGAAGACCAAAGGTCCAGTGTTCACTGCTAGCCGGTGCAGACTCCAGCTCCCACTACACTGAGGATTACTGACGGGAGTCAGGGTAGAGCA